AGTACCATGCTTAGCCTTGAAGCCAAACTGGTTGTCTGAGGTACATAAATAAGAACATAGTCTATCCAACAAAATTATTTCCAGGACTTTGGATAACACACTGGCTAGAGCAATTGGTCTATAGTTATCCAAGCCCCCTACCTTGCCCGCTTTGTCCTTAATGACAGGCACCAAGGTAACAGTCAACATGGAGTCCGGTAACATACCAAGTCATGAGGCAAGTAAAACATGCAACCTTCGGGCTTGCCAGTTTAAGGTGCTCTGCAGTGATTCGGTCAGAGCCGCATGCTTTGTTATCAGCTAGCTGTGCAATTGCTCGATAAACCTCATTAGCTGTGATTCCCACTATGTCACTTTTCACAACATTACCAACCTTGTAGGGGTCACTTTTAACACAATTAAGTATAGTAGAGTAATGTTGACTTGCCTCCACAACTCTATGTTATCGGCTCCAGATACTCCCTCTATGGTACATGGTAATGACGTACAGGCCCTGTTCAGAGCTCTCACCTCCTTCCAGAAGCCAGTCACATCATTATGAAGGAGCTTTTCAGCCATAGAATCCGCTCTCAATGTTTCTGTATGTTTGTTGACATAACGAACTGCATATTTATATCTAGCATTTGTAAGCTTTTTGAGATCCAGGACAGCCCCCTCTCTGGGCCTTCCTGCCCGGACCCAGGCCCCAAAAGCATTCTTAGCTTCAGCGTATTGATCAGCCACATGTTTATTCCACCCTGGCTTGACGTTGTGTCTCTTCCCACAGTAGGTATAGCACGGTCTACTGGCCTCACATACAGCTCCCACAATACAATCATATATGTTACAGAGGTCTTCACGGTGAGAGCTTTCATTACAACCCACATCAACACAGAGCTGCCACTTTGGGTAGATATACATCACTCAACAGGACATCAGTTCTCCCACAGTACAATAGCCTATCCTCATGTTGTGAGCTTGGACCAATCCACTTTAGTGTTACAGGCATTTTTAATCACAATGTAGTGACATTACAAAAGGAATGTGATCAGACATTGATGCCTCACACACAATCTCAATTGATCTTAAAATGTCATGGGCATTAGCAGTGCTTATGCAATGGTCAAACCTCGAAGTTGTGTGCAAGTTGTACACACTGGCCCTATTACCTTATTAGCTCAATTATTTCTGATGCTCTGTGCTTCTTGTTGTCCTACAGGAAGCGGCTTGTTTCTGATGATCTGCAACGGTCAGCTGATAGCTTACTTCACCTGCAAAAGTGACCAGAGCTACGCCTCCTTCAGCATGTACTGACAGACAGAAAGCTATGAACTTTTTCATAAACAGTCTTGTGAAGTGAGGTGGAATAATCAAACCAGACATCTCATCATGGAGACCACGATGAGATTCTCCATAGTGCGCGGCTTTTGTTTTTTGTTACTATGAAAACACATGACTTCCTCACCATCACGCTTAAGGACAGAGCTGGGTCCACTTTGTTGCCAACAGAATGGCATCCTATTGTTTTTATGTAAATGCCACAACGAGATGTTTCTATGTGTTTTGCTTGCACAAACCCTCGGTTACTTTGCAGGATTTTAAGGCAACCTGTTCAGTATTTTCAGTACTTTTGTAAGCTGTGAATTTAAGGGCAGGAAAGTTGCACTACATGTTTGTTGCATATTTTAAAGATATACATGTTAAAGAAATAAACATGCTGCAGAGTGTTTTTTCTTTAATCTCCATACAAACTAAGGTAGCTAGAAATTGTGAAATAGAAACCAGCCTATTTCAAATTATGAACGAATGCTGAGAATAAGTTGTGAAAAAGCAAAAATAAACTGTTATTTAAAAACTGATAAAAACATGCAGTGTAAGTGTTTAAAAATAGAATTTGATTTAATAATTTATGACATAAAAATTAAATATTTGACACATTCCCAGAAGATTTTGCGTTGTTATGAACCCGGATTTACTGCCACGTACTCCACTGGGTTCATGAAGGAGAATCCTGGGAAGGCCTCGTTGGTCCCAGACGCCTGGCACTCATTCACAGAGGCAGGGACAGGTTGGAGAGTGAACTCAGGGTCGATGTGGCTTAAATCACAGGGGCCGGCCTAGAGAGGATAGAGAAATCAACATACACTCAGGTACACCGTGCATTGGTTCTAAAAATATATGTCTCTCCATTTCTTTATGAATCATTCCTACCACTTTCGGGATGAAGGGAGGTCTCACTTTCCTGGCCAGCAGGTCGTCCCACTTGATGGATGCAAAGAAAGGATGTTCCTGCAGCTCCGCCTGCAGACACATTGAAGTTAGACGCTCTGTAATTATGTGTGTGTGTGTGTATCAATGCTCGTCTCTATTTTATAGGTTTTTTGTGTGCTTACAAGGTCACTGCTTCCCCCTAAGCGTTTGGAGACGTCCCTTCCCAGCAACCCCTTTAACAGTGAGGCCTGAGAACTTCCACTGCGCACCTGCAGTGGAGCGTGAAGTATGTTCTCAAACATCTCTGCTTTGCAACGGCTGTAAAACGGAGGCTAAGAAAAAGAACATGGAGGTGAAGGAGTCAGGTGAAAATGCTGGAGAAAATCAAGTGAAGAAAGTATTATGCTGCAGCTGCACTACCAGTGCATAGAGCATCTCAAACAGCACAGTGCCGAGGCCCCACCAATCCACTGCTGGACTGTATGGGAAGCCTTGTAGCACCTCTGGAGCGAGGTACTCAGGAGTCCCAAAGAATGTATGCACGATCCCATCAACGGCCACACTTTCTTTACAAAGCCCAAAGTCAGTCAGCATCACATGACCCTCATTGTCAAGCAAGATGTTGTCTGGTTTGAGGTCCCTGGAAGACAGAGGCAAACACCTATATCATTTGGTTTGATCTCCCCTGTTTGTCAGGGGGATTAAGGAAATCAAATCAAGTTTTATTTATATAACACATTTTTAAAACGATTTTTGGTCGAGCCAAAGTGCTGTACATGCACTAAAAACACTTTACTACAATAGCAAACAGAAGACAACAAATTACATCACACACAGGGAAATGTCAGGAGTCGTGCTCCGCTCTGACTAGAAGGCCAGAGAGAAAAAGTGAGTCTTAAGTGTAGATTAAAAAACCCCTAGGGTCTGGGCCGACCTCACATGGAGGGGCAGAGTGTTCCAAAGCCTAGGGCCAGCTGCTGAGAAGGCTCTGTGCCCTCGGGTTTTGAGCCTTGTCTTGGGCACTACCTGCAGCAGCTGGTCAGCGGACCTTAAAGCTCTGGCTGGGGTGTAGCGATTGATGAGTTCTGCTAAATAAGCCGGAGCCAGCCCATTTAGTGCTTTAAAAACAAATAAAAGGAGTTTAAAATCAATTCGGAACCGAATTGGAAGCCAGTGCAGTAAGGCCAGAATTGGGGTGATGTGGTCACGCTTTTTATGGTCAGTGAGTAGACGTGCAGCTGCGTTCTGCACTAGCTGCAAGCGTCTAATTGACGCCTGGTCCATACCCACGTACAGAGCGTTGCAGTAATCCAGTCTCGAGGTAACAAAGGCGTTAATAACCCTTTCCAGGTCTTTAATAGATAAAAACGACTTGGTCTTGGCCAATAATCGTATTTTAAAAAAGCAGGTGTTGACTACATTGCTGACCTGCTTATCAAATTTAAAAGCGCTATTGAAGGTCACTCCAAGGTTCATGACAGAGGGGAGGATGTTTTTATTGAGGGAGCCCAGAATTTCAACCGGGGAGGCTGGAGGTTGGGGTCCAAAAAAGATGACCTCGGTCTTGCTCTCGTTGAGGTTGAGGACATTTTGGCTCAGCCAGGATTTTATCTCTGTTAAGCAGTCCATCAACAGCTGTAATGAGTTGACATTTGAATTTGAGAGGCAGATAGATCTGTACATCATCGGCATCACAATGGAAGGGGATGTTGTGTTTTGTGAGAATTGAACCTAGGGGCAGTATGTACAGT